TTTAGGGGGGAGGGTTTAGGGACAAGGGGTTGGGATTTACGGTTTAGGGCTCGGTGTTTGGAGACTGAGGGTCGGGGTTTAGGGGTTTAGGTTTTAAGGCCCAGGATTTTCGAGAGTTTCAGATTCTTTTGAAGCGTTTCATAGAGGGCTTCAAAGGCTTCGTAAGGCTCTTGTCACTAGGCCTTAAAGATTTTTTTCTGGGGCTGGGGTTTAGGCTGTCAGTGGGTGGACTGTATTGGCATTCAACTCCAAGTTCGGAGTCAACCCAACATTCGCTCTAATTCTATAGCTTTGCAGGCACCCGAACGACGTGAACGGAAAAGTGGAGGTCGCTATGTTAAAGCCTGACTAACACGAAACCCTAGACTCCTAGACCTTAAGACCTAAACCCTCGCACTTCATCCCAAAGCATAAAATCCAAACCCGACACCCTAACTTAAACTCTAAGCCCCACATCGAATGAGAATGAATATCCTGGCCTCTGTATTAATTAACAGCACTCCAGAAACTAATCCCGATTCCCTGCCCTTACGTACAAACTTAACCCCCGGAGCTTTAACCCGCAAGCTGAAAATCTTGGAAAGATCAAAGTAACCAGCCGCAATACAGTCTTTCATTCCTCCAACCGGATCATCACACTTCAGCTATAACCCTGCGGAACGGCCTGGCAAAAGATTCTGAGTCGTTCTTTACTCCGGCGTCCTGAGAATCCAGCGCTCTTTACGAAAGCTGCTTGGGTGGTGTTCGTCAACCTCAAACTCTAGGCTATCCGATCTTCGTAGGGTTTAGGGTTTAGGGTTTAGGGACGGGAAGCGGCTTGCGAAAAAAATCTCTGGCTAACCATTGCTGCACATTCGGACTTAAGGGAAACTTGATGTCTTGCCTCTTCCCTCTTGATCAGGGACAGGAAACCAACATCCTAAAGCTTGTTCACCAACATCGGGGCGCATGTGATCGGAATTCGGACTTGGGGCACATCTTACCTGTAGCGACGCTGAACCCTATACCTCAACCCCTAAGCCCGAAGTGGAACGACAATCACCCCAGGATGAAGCGACTCGGGCGGGACCTCAGAAGTATGCTCATAGCATCCAGAATACCCCATGAACTCAAAACCTAAAGAGCCAGAAAACTCAAATCAAACCTCGACTAATTTACTGCCCCTATCCAAAACCTCTACCTCAACCCTCATACAAACACTACACAAGCTCCTCAACCCTTTGTAAGCCTTAAAACAAGAGGAAACCCTATATAAACCTCAACAGCCCTCGTATACAAAAATCCCCCTCCGAAACCCTGAACCCTAAACCTCCCACCAAGCCCCCCGGCCGCCAGGGATAGGTCTACAGAGTTTGAGGGAGGCTCTGCGTACGGGACCTGCCCGTCCAGGCTTCGAGTTTTGGGGTGTTGGGGTTCAGGGCTCAGGGGTTTGGGGTTTGGGGTTTA